CCTTGATACATAAACACAACATAGTACTTCTGTCAGTACTTCTGATCCATTTTGAGCCATCTATATAAGGACAAACAAAAATCATCTGCAGTGCTGTATAAAAGGTGAATTGCCCAACAGAGAGAATCCAAAAACTTAAAAAACAATGTTTTAAATGAAAGAAAAAAAATATAAACAACTCAAATATTAACATTATATATTGGAAATCACCATTGCACCAATGAACCATTCAAGACCTATCAGTCATTTTCAAGTGCTCTCACCCCATAAGCTTGTTTTTCAGAAACTGTACCTTTGAAGACAGCTTTTGTCCATCAAGATTTAAAAGTATCTTCTGGAGGACTTCAAAGGTGCATTTAAGTTCTGGTGGGTAGCTCAGGTTCAAACGGTATATGAGTCCAAACAACAGAGCACATGCTTGTGCAATGTTACCCAAATCAGTGTTAGCCTCACACCCTCAATCACGACACCAACGTCCTCTGGGTCATCTTCAGTTCAGCACCTCCTTCTGGATGACGTACACGCCCCATCACAGTTTGCTCCATGCAGCTTTTGCCTCGCTGTCCGTATCCTACATGAAAAAGTATAAGACAACAAAGTAAAATTAAGAGATTGTTTTAAAACAACTGTTTCTATGCTGTCCATAAAATTCCAAGTAGTCAAAGTAATAAACAGAAAATTACACCACTAAAGTAGTTGTTAGTAATTACTCCCAATACATAAATTATAAAAACACCTCTCATGTCAAAAGAGGTGGCAAGTTGACCTCTCACCGGCCCCTCCCCGAAAGGGCCATTGGTCCAATTACACATTATAGCAACCGTTACTGTGTCTGACAAACATTAACCTCAAGCAAGATGGAGAAAGCGGTGTGCCCACCGATACGCCGAGAGATTGTGTCTGGAGGAGTTGTGTTCTTTCCATTCACAAAGTCAAAAACACGTGAATGGATTAAACAGTGTGTATGGCCCCATTCCCAGGTAAATGTACCGAACATTATGAAGCATGTCTGCTCGCACATTCGGGTACCATTGGTGCGCAGAGGAAACCATTTGTTTGTCGGACGTAGCAAGAGTAACTTAGGGGGACAGGACTCGAGAAAAGGCTAACTCAGCTGCTAAAATAAAACAGGTATAGAAGTAGGGCTGCCACAAACGATTATTTTGATAGTCGACTAGTCAGCGATTACTTTTGCGATTAGTCGACTAATCAGATCATCATCCATTGAACATACAGCATACAGCTTATTGCACCAGCAGCATCTGCTCTTATATAACTATCATTAGCTTTCAGCTTTAAGTGTTTAAGGTATGTGCTAACTAAAAATAAAGACAAGATGATAGTTTATTAAATTTTAATGACATTTGCAGAGTGTTTCGGTGGAGTTTAATAAACTCCTTGCTATCTAAAATATAACGGGACACCGGAGTAAATTCTCCAGCATCTCACACTTCTGATAATCAGCTGTCTGCTTGACGTTTATTCAGCTGTGTAAAAACTATAACTTTAATCTCATCCAAACCGATTTACTCAGGAACAAATAAAACACTGAAAAAAGCCAAACAACATTTTGAAGTTATCTAAGTGACTTATATATCATGTTTAACCTGAGTAGTGAAAGACAGCGGTGGGTTTGAAAACGAGCTGCCGGGAGTCCGGTGTTCTCACGGCTCTAGTTAGCCTAGCCCCCGGCTAGCTATCAGCTAGTGGGTAACAGACGTCTCTGAAAACGTCGGAGCACTTTTGGAAAATATGTGGTGTCTTGATAAACTGAGCAGATATTTGAGGTTTACACAGCTACATTCTCGCCTGAAAATATGTTAAACGTTTATTTTGTGACCCAGAAAGAATAATAAGAATAATATTAAAACTAACCAGCTGCCGCCATTGTTGGAAACTAAGCAGGGCCGCGATGGGCCGCGCTATGAATTCTGGGACACAGTTTCTTCTTCTTCGGGGTTTAACGGCAGCTGGCATCCTTGGACATGCAGTGCTGCCATCTTCTGTTTCAGTCCATTATTACACTCTTAAATCCTACTGATTCCTGCGTCTTTTGTGATCTTACAAAGCTTCAAACGACGCGTCGACTATTAAATTAGTCGTCGACGATTTTGATAGTCGACGTAATCGTGACTAGTCGACTAATCGTGGCAGCCCTATATAGAAGTGTTAGTACTAAACAGCTCAAAGTTCATAGACATTTCTATTTACAAATACTGATGACCATAACAATGAAAAAACAACAGGACTTGTTTTAATCCAAGTACAGATTCAAAAGCAATATAGTCTTGATGCATGTTAAATGCATTGTATGTTTGTGTATCAAGTTTAAGTAGGCATAAATTTCTTTCCTTCCAATACCAAATTCCAGAAATTCTTTATTGCAACGCTTAATACTGTTTGGTATTCAAGACATCCTTTCCCAATACCAGGTGTCTTGTTGCTAATCTCAAAATTTTAATTTTAATGATTTGCATTTGAGGCAACGTCACAATTTGTATGAGAATGTTACAGACAACATGCTGTCACAATGGCTCACCAAGTACTCCTTTATTAACTTCTCATAGTCTTCGTTTAGGTGGATGCACAAAGACTTCAAGATGCATGCTCGTCTGGTATGGATGTTGTCATGCTGGAGAGGAGGAGGAGATAATATGAGCCAAAACCAGTCTGTTTTTCTTAAAGCTAGGGTAATCAGTTAACTTGCATAATTATTCTTTAGGTTAGAACCTGGCATGTACCACTTGTTAAGCCGAAACAAAATTGACAACTTCATCTCCAAATAAAAGTTATTTTTGCTGCCTATGACAAAGTCTACTCAATCCTAATACAAACCTTGGAGATGGCAAGCATGAGACCTCTTATTTTCTTTCCACGTGTCCCTCCTTTGGTCAGAAAGATTTCCATTAAGCGTGCCGCGTATTGGTCAAGCTCGGCAAAGAAAGTAGATAGCAGAGGCTTTGTGGTGATTCGCAGAAACTCCTTCTCAATCTGCAATAGAGAACAAATACATTGATTAAAAACGCAACTGTATATTTCACTCACTTCACATCTAAGCTGACTAAAGCTGCTTTTAGAAGACCATGCAGACATCAGTGCTGTCTGTGTAGGACATGAATCAGTCTGTGTCAGATACTGAATTTGAAATTTCCACTAAAGTCACAAGTAAGAGGCAAGTGGAACCAAGATCTAGGCCATTTGCTTTTGAAGTTTGCAAAGACTGCTAAATTGCACCAGTGGTAGTTCACTCTTTGCAACACAGTATGCTGTTCTAAACAGATTTTTCAGGTTTATTTTTAGTATATTATTTGCAATTGGTGTTTGTTCTGGGAAAGATATTGCAGACTGAGCAATAATCCATTTCTAATGGGGGCCTTTCTTAAAATGACTGGTCCCAGTAACAAAGGCGCTTGTCGACTCAGAAATCGAGGGAAAACCAACAACACACCCGGCAGAACATTATGTTATTTACACGGGTGCACATAAGTGGTCCGCATGTGCGCATTCGCTGTCAAAATAAAAGACGCGCAACAGATAAGAAGTTGCAACGCACGTTTGCATCCATATAAAAGGCACTGTTTTTGTCCGCTAGAGTGGGATTTTCACAGCACATTCTGCACCACATCTGTGTGTTCATCATTTGTTTGAAGCCAGCTCACCTCCTGCAATCACTTTTGCGAGAATACGCGCTTCTTTTGTGGTTCGGACTCCTTCTGACATTTCTTTGGAGGTGGAGGAAAACCAAAGTAATTGCTTAAAGGAGCTTCTTCGACATATTTAAGAGTTCTAAACAAATATGTCCTCATCCAGAAAATCTTATGTATGCAAACACGCGTTGCAACTTCTTATCTTGTGCGCGTTTTTTATTTTGACAGCAAATACGCACTTGCGGACCACTTATGTGCAGCCCCGGTTATATAGCTCGTCATGTTGCAGCCACAGAAATTCTTTTGTCCATGAAACCATAAAGCTGCACTTTCTTTTTGCCTTATAGTCTGATTTGTCATAACTTTTCCGTTTTGTGGTAAGCTTTTCTTTGGCTGTCACTTCTTCACCCTGACCTGTCTTATTTGGCTAAGCAGAACTACAATTAATATCCTGCTGCTTTTACACACGCACTCACATAACACTCAGCGATTGTCTGCGCGATCAACCTCTCACATGTTTAAGCTGCGGGAGATTTCACTTGTCATGTTTGCATAGTAAGCTAACGATTGATAAGACGATGTCAGAGGAATTGGTGCACAAATTATCATCACTCACAGATCAGTGCTGTCGCTCTCTATACACAGGTCGCGCGATTGCAAAGTGAAAGCAAAAAACAAGCGCAAATTCAAACGCGATTTCAATATGTCACATATTGACAGTGGCTCACCGATGCCAATGACATAATTACCCAGCTACATTTCCGAAAGAATGCAGAAGCATTGACATATATTTTTCCTTCTTATGACAGCCCGACGGGCAGGGCAGAGATAGATTTTGGTAGCCCGACTGGAAAAATCGCTAGCCCTGGGACGTCGGGCTAGCCATTTTGCGAGCCCTGTACAGTGTTTCAATAATTGTACCTACTACTCTCCCTGATGGAACAACGCTTGCACTGCCACATACAAGTCACTGAAAGAAAAAAGAAAAGCAGTTTTAAGGATAGTTTTATTGGCACCTTTTTTTCACTTTGATTAAATCATAAAACTATCATAATAAATATATGATGGTAAAAGGCTTACCATGTATTAAAGAGGAGGCACAAACAATCAGAAAAAGGGGTCAGCTTTCTTTGTGGTGTTACTATGGTAAAGAAAACAGAAAAAATTATTTTATAAAAATTCCACAGTGGATTTTTTTTTACTTTGTTGCAAATGTATAAAAAAAATACAAATACATATAAATACCTCTTGCAATATAAAATTCACAGATAAATATCCAATCTGTTGCCAAATGTAATAGCAGTGTTTCACACTATGCAATAAAGATGCGGGTAGTTGCGGTAAAGGTCCGACAGGCAATTTTCATAACTATCCGCCATTGCCTTTTCCTCTGACCTCGTGTTTATGCTCTTTTTCCCATGCACTAGCATCAAGTCAATTCGAAGGATGCAGCCCCTGAATTTGGACACAGCTAATATTTAGCAAATCGCGCATGCTAGTTTAACTTGCATTACTGTGAGAGGCCGAATGCTTAAAATAAAAGGAGAGAGAAAGAAAGAAAGAAGAAAAAATGCAAATGATAATAAAAAAAGTGAACAAAGACCATGTCTTGCAATAACCGTCATTTAAAACCAAAGTGAATGCTAACAGAGCTAGGTAGAAGTTCAATGAGACAACCATACTAGCTTTAGCTAACTTCATTTACTTTGAAAGTGAATTACAAACGTGTTAAATATTGAATTAAACATATCAATAACCGCTAAAAACACTATAAGACTAACTGCAAAAACGGGTAAAAAAAAAAAAGAAAAACAATGAAGTGGAAATGCTAATAATAGTATAAATATACCCAGAGCGGATTATAAATCAGGTATTAGACGGTACCGATTGGCACCGTCTAATACCAGATTTTCACTGTATTTGCTCCACTCCCGCTGTCTAATGACAACTTACACATTTGGAATTAAAAACATTGTTAAACAATTAATGGACAAAACAACTTCGTTTGACTAAGATATTTTGAGTTATTTATTACTTACCTGTATTGTGGAAGATTCCGCAGAGGGAAATGGCAGTCCACTGAACACATATAACTTCTCCGCGTTCCCGCCTCTTCACTTTTGGGAAGTTTGAGCATGCGCACTAGGCATCGGTTTTAGAGTTGTTGATTTAAAATAATTACATTTAATTGAACTGAAGAATGCAAATCTAGTTCATTAAACTTTTTGTTATTTTATGTTAAACCAACAACTGATAATGATTTAAAAACCTAAACTCAATATGTTCATGTTAAATAGACAAATGTCTATTGAATTAATCAAACAACTGCCTTAGTTGACTTTTTTGAGTGCACTTAAGTCCTATGCAAGAAGTAAGGGTGTACTTAGCTTTTGACAGCACAGCAACAACTACAGATCGAGGTAAGGTTAAGTTTTTTTTTTTTCAGTACCCTTAGATCTGTGTACAATCAGTCCACCATCAGAAAATGACTTAACCTTCATTTATTTATTGAGTCTATAGGAAAGAAACACTAAAGCTTTTTAAACTGCAGTATTTTATTATAAGTTCATTATAATACCCAATATATAATAATTATCTTTTAATCTAATCAAAATGAAGATAAGATATGTTAGATATAACAAATACAAACATAGCTTAGAAAGATATCTATCAAGTCATAATAAACTACAACAGCTCACAGGACTGTAAGCAGATTAGCTGCTATTGCTAACAGTCCAGCTAAAGATCAATGTTGTTGTTTTTTTAAATGTTGTTTTTTTTGATGAAATTAAGTCATTCATATAGAAGAAATTAATTAGTGTGCATCAGATAAGTCAATAAGTGGATTTTCTTTATCTCTTTTAGATGTAGGCTAGCTGTTTCTAGCTAGCTATACTAAGCTAAGATAATATTTACTACCCAGATGTGAGAATTTATCAATCCTCTCATCATTAGTCTCTCAGTAATAAATTAGCAAATGAGAACTACCTCCCACTTCTTCTGTATTATGAATGAAACTGTAAATTTAAAGTGATGTTAGGTTACATTTTTATCTTTAAAGGTAATTATTAGTTATGGTTTATTATTGGTTACATACACATACAGATATCAACCCAAATACACACAAACACCCTCTGAAGCTGCAATGTCCCAGGATGATAACAAAGGGATGGCATATTGAATGAGCTTGCTGTGCATCTGGTTCAATTGCAATGCTGTTTGCCCGATACAAATGGTGTATGGGTGTGTGCTCTAACTGATACTTGTAGCTTGTGATTAATGTTCCTCTTTCTTAAATCCATCGGCACAACATCTCATTGCTATGCCTAACCAGCATTTCAGACAAGCTGAGAGAATGGACTCCTGTGAATGTTCAAGTTAATGTGAATGCATGTGTGCAGAGGAGATAGTAAACATTCATCAGATAGTCAAGACAACGCTTCCCTTGGTAAAAGCTGGACATTACGCAGGTACTCCAGATAAACTCTCCCAAAAGGCTCAATCATTAATCTGAATCTAAACAGAGAAGAAACTCTGCACCTGAAGACAAAAAGCGGAAACAAAAGCTTAGTTTATCAGTGCAATTGGCAGGCTTCTGCAAGAACAACCTTAAAATGAAACTTTACACACACACACGCACACACACGCACACACACACACACACACACACACACACACACGTGTGTGTTCTGCATATACATGCTGAATATATATACGGCACATAAGGGGCCAATGACCAAAAACTCCTTGATATACTTCAGAACAAGGCAACGTAAATGGTTTAAAGGTAGTCTATTTATGATATTCTATCAATTTTTGAATATTTCCCATTGACACCTTATTGGTTGCCAAATTTTTGGGTATGTGATATCATTTGAAAGCTATCAACAAGTATCCCCAAATCATCTCTTGGACTAAAGAACTGACAAATTAAGAAATTTATGGTAAAAGGTAAAAGTTTATATGCTAACAAACAAAGCAATCACGGTCCTTGACGGTCGGTCTGTGTGCCTGGAGGCTTTGGCAATTATTTTCCCAGCAACCAGCTGTCAACCTCCAGCAAACAAACACAATCAATCAGGGAATAATCATTTTTTCGGCCAAGTTGATGTTACATTGTTAATTGTCACGTCTGCAAAACCTCAATTACAGATTTATTCCATGACAAAAATTAACAACAGTGTTGCTGTTAATGTTTTGTTAGATAATTCTGAAAAATTAAACAGATGCATTGACACTTTTTACTTAAGGCTCCAGTCATACAGGACTAGAGACTGGCTTCTCGCCTGGCAACCGGTGGTTGCTAGGGAAAAAAGTATTCCCTGACTGGTTGAGAGTGGCTGCTGGCAATTTCTGTTAAATCAATTACTGAAGCCACAGTTATGCAGGCCTACAGGCCACTCACTAACCCCCTGGTAACCATTGGTTGCTCATCCACAGCTCCGAGAATACATCATGTCAGGCATACAATAGGCTGGTTATGCCAGTCACATTACTTGGATTATGGAAATCCATAAGAATTGAGTGGAATCATCTTCAACTTGAATCATCAATTGAATATACAAGCAAATCATTATGTATAGGTGATTCATGTACAAATACATGATTGATTTTAGGTTTACCATCTTGAGTTGCATTTGGTGGTGTGATAGGTGGCAGTGTTGGTTAATTGGTAGTTTGGTCCAGACTGAAATATGTTCAGAGATTAGCTGCAAATGCACTCTTGCCCTCTTATGAATGCCACTTTGGGTTTAGCAATAATCATCGGATGCATGCTAAAGTAAGATGATGAAGTAAATGATAAATCTGCTAAACAACAGCAAATGTGCATTTTTATTGTGAACATGTTAGCTTGCTGTGTTTTCTTTGGTGTGTCTCAGAGAACAGGGTTCACTCTGGTAACCAAACAACTATTTCCTTGTTTCTGCCTTTTTTCATGCTCTCTTCAGAAAACATTAGATGTTCTGGCATATTGAATTGACTTAAGAATTTCCTGCAGAGAGAAAAAAGACCCTTTAAAGTAAATTAAAATAAATGCAAAACTGTACAGCAGAGAAAGGACAGAGAAAAACACTCTCCCCTTCACCCATACTGCCATGAGGTGGCGGTTTTTCCTTTCACAGCCTCCTGATTATTCTAAGCTGCCATGCTTTATTTAAGCCCAAATCCTGCTTCTTTTCAAACAGATCCTTTAAGTCAAAATTTCCGGAACATTATAATGAGTGTCCAGAAGGGTTTTTGCCCACTAATAGGCAGATATTTTCTGCCCCTCGCCACAGTTATGAATAATGCATCGACCTCAAATAAATAGCGTCCCTGTTGGTGTCACCTCTTATTGAGGAAGTGTGGTCTATGGTCTATAGAGTCCAGAATGACCATCAAGACGAGGAGGAAAACGACAAAAAGGTATCAATCAGACACACGCACGAGTGTGTGCACATACACAAACACTCTCTCCCTCTCTCTTTCAGTCCACTGGCTGATTTATTGATTTTGATGAAGGCAACTAGACCACTTTGACCTAGCGGGCTCCTATTTCTAACGGTGTCATTTCAGCAGGCAATTACAGAGGGATCGTTGAATCTTTCTCTCTGAGTCAAACACACACACTTTCACATATACACACATACACAAAACAATGATAGATGACACATTAAACAGGCCTGGTTATTTTAGACATCTTTGCATTCAAGTTCCTGCTGCCTTTTTCCAGGACAGATTGTTAAGTTTGAAGTTAAACTACATCTAGATGGACGTCTGACATCTCTACTTCTGTAGTCGTGAAGCATGAAAAAAAAAATCTTTCCATTTTGTTTCAGGTGATTTTATTTTTTTATATTTATTTATTTATTACCTTACAGGTTGTAATAGGAGACTGGCATGAAGAAAGGAAGAGATTTAATAAAACAAAAAACTAAGAAAAGACCAAAAGTCATGTTACATATTTAAGGTTAAGAGGAGACAAAAAGGTTCTCTTTAAGGTATCCAATTCATATTTATAGTATAATATAATATAATATATTTATGGGTATTTGTGATCAACAAGAACAGCTTTGTATGGATTTGCAGTGACCGTTCCCTCTCAGGGTACAAGTGAAGTCAAATCCTACCTCCCCATCGCATGACAGATGCCTCAGATCTCCTTACTGCAGGAGACAAGAGTTCAGCTTTTCCATGTTGAAAGGGGCCTATTATGCTTTTCTTATCTTCAGTCATATACTGCTACAATGGTGTATGCTCATAACAACATGGAGAAAAGTTTAAATAATGCGACCAGTGTACTCCTATTGATGGTACCAAGTCCAGATAAACGGGGAGGGCTGCATCAGGAAGGGCGTAAAATCTTGGCCAAATGAAGCATGTCTCATTCTTTATGTGTCATTTTCATACAGGATCGGTCCGAGTCTGGGTTAACAACGACCCTCTTTGTGGCCAACAGTGTGCTGGTGGACATTGTGCTACTGTTAGCCTAAAACAATAAAAGAAGAAAGCGGGGAAGACATGTTAAGAGATAGCGAGAGAGAAGAAAAGGCAGGAGGTTCAGAGGTGAAAGCAGTGACTGCAGAAAGATATCGTCAAGAGTAAAAGGGATCTTTTACAAAATGGTAGTGAAACCTGCTATGATGTATGGTTTGGAGACAGCGGCACTAAGAACAAGACAGGAGGTAGACCTGGAGGTGGCACATGAAGATTTTCACTGAAACTAAACAGGATGGACAAGATTAGAAGTGAGTACCTCAGAGAGACAGCTCAGCTTGAGCAGTTTGGGGACAAAGTTCGAAAGGCAAGGGCGAGATGGTTTGGACATGTGCAGAGGCGAGATAGTGGATATACTGGACAAAGGATATTGAAGGTGGAGCTGCTAGGTAGGAAGAAAAAAAGGCGACCACAGTGAAGGCAGTAGTGAAGGAGGACATGCAGAGGGTCGGTGTGACAGAGGAGGATCCTAGGGTTAGCTAAGATGGAGGCAGATAATCCGCTGTCATGACCCGAAAGGGAGCAGCAAAAAGAAGAAAGTGAAGAATAAGCGGGGAGTTGCCCAGCCTGGGGGTTTCTCAACCCAGTGACAAAGTGGTTTTGTGTGTTTTTATTTTTTAACTCTTGTCTCAGAGCAGAAATCCATAATGAGGTCACCTGCCTCACATAGCATTGGCTGTGGAAAAATTAGCCCGCCCATGTGTTTTTCAAAGTTTTGTCCGTGTTGAGCAGCCAATCAGAAGAAAGCTGAAACTCTGCTTTTAAGGTCCTCCTTGACCTTAAAGGGAGAGGAGCTGAAACGGCATCTTTCAGGTCTGAACAAAGCGGATGCACCAAGCTCCAGTTTATGATAAAGAAGGATTATTTTGAACTGTGACTCATACAAAGCTGCTCTAGGACAGTCCGAGAATAAAAATATGAAGATGGAAACCAACAAAACATATTTCCTTTAATTTGTCGCATACAAGTAAGTATTAAAGGTGTGCAATAGCTGTGACTTGATTTGTTTGTTAGTTAATGAGTTACCAACAAGATAAAAATAAAAACTATATACAACACTTCAGCTTTTGCAGCTCAGGCTCGTGGTGGGGCTCGAGGCTATTCGAGCAGTTGTGAGGTAAGAGGCAAGGTAGATCCCTACAAACCAGACAGGACCCAAGTCTGTCGTAGGGCTAAGAGACAGACAACCAGTTACCCTCACATCCACACTTACAGCTAATTTTAGAATCCAACCAAAATAACGAGCATGTCTTTTGACTGAAGGAGAAAGCTGTAGTACCCAGAGAATGCATGCTTTGAAAGTTTATCTGAAGTTTATTTTAAAAGAAGAAAAAAAGTGAAAGTTTTCAAATTCAGTTTTTGATTACAAAATAATTCTCGAAGATACCTTTGTGAAGCGTTCTTTTAGTTTAGACTGACCTTGGCGTATTGTCCAAACTTTTTATGAAGCACCTTTTCAGAGCTCTGTGACTGTTTTTGATGTGTTTTGCTGTTTGTAATTTTTTTCACAAGCTGTATAAAAGCCTCTCTTGTAAAAAGAGCTATTGATCCCATTCAGGCTAGCTCATTAAACAAAAACTTTAACAATGTATCAGACGCAGCGCTCACAGGCTATCTTCAAAATTCAAATCAAGCTGGTCAGAATTTGTCTGGCTCCAGCAAACACAGTCAATACTCTTTCACTCATGGCTCTTGTTGCCAGCAGTTTTTAATCTTCTTATAAACCAATTTAGGAGCTACAACTAAACCAGACCTCACTCCACCATGAGGCAGCAGTTTGTCAGAATGGTGAAACATAATAATGTCACATGAGATCAAACTAAAATGTTACTGGAGGAGACAACAGATTTCACTATGTCTCCATTCAGCCGGAGCCACAGCAGCTATTGATTTTTGTGTTGAGAGGCATCGTTGCCCAGTCTATTCAGGCATGAAAACGGGGGCTCTTAGAGGAGAATAAACAGTGATAATCCACATTTAAGCAGCTTAATGTGAGGTGCTATACTCCTGGTGATTAATGTGTCTAGAAGGGCTCATCTCTGCATATTGGGTCTCATTCATCAAACCATAAAATAACACACTTATAGGGGAAGGTTTTTACGCATTTGTCTGAAAAGCAATTTAAATGGGTGTAGCCAAAAGAGCAACATTTAAGCCCCTGGGCTGTATCTCTGAAAAGCAATTTTTGGTTTAGTGAAAGTGTTTTGTTCCTGGCATTTAAAAATCAATCGCACAATCTTTAGTGACCACCAAGGTTGAGCTGTGGCCTTCAGAGGTTTGTTTTATTTATATTTTGTTCAGTCATCTGATACTTTTAGGCATGAAGTTTCCATCTAGGATTCTCTACACTTACAAGAGCCACAACGCTCATATTACTATTTGCCTATTATTAGATTACTTTCAATCAATAAGGGTTCAACAAGAATTTATAATCACACCTTTGAGCCACACAGATTTTATTTAGTTAACATGCCGCCTTGTCTTCTTGCATGACATCGGGCTATTGCTTAAATATTTTAATATCCTACTATGAGTAAAACGTTTCACTCATGTTGTTTACACCTGCACTGAGAGACTGAGAGATAGCATTGCATAGTGGATCAAAATCTGATGGCGCTTCTTCACGTTCATGATTTCCATCCAGCACCACTGACTGAAATGCAGCCCCAAGTCGTGACCTTCACTGTGTTTTACAGAATGCTCTCGACACTCACTGTTGTACCTCTCTCCTGACCTGACAGGCAGGAATGACAAATAACTCTTTGGGAGTCAACTTGGTGCAAAAATAGTATTTCATACTTGTCCTACTGATGTGCTTGGCATTTTTGTATATTCAACTAAAGAAAATGGGAATAAATGTGTTTTTGTGACAGGGTGCTCGTTACAAAGTGCCTAATGATACAAATAAATTTGCTTAAGTGTGTAATATGTGTAGAACGAACACTGGTTCATCCTTGAGTTAGGTGCCTTTTTGTGTTTGAATGATTCATAGGTCAGCAATAAGTGGCTTAAAAAATCTTCTGAAAATCACCTTGTACACAGACTGGAGTGAAAAAGCAGCAAAGAAAAACTGAAAGAGCTTCAGAAAGCCTGGAGAACTGAAAAAACCCTCCTCTGGCTTCTTGGCAAATATTAAACTGAGAGGAGCAAGACTTTTGCACAGTACTGCATATACAGTACAGTGATATTACTGTGTACATTTCCCTGGATCACAGTTTTCAGGGTTAAGAGTGATATGAAATCACTGGAGTATAGAAAAATCAAACATGTTTTTTTTATGTCTAAATGTTGGCACTAAATGATTAGCCTCATTTGAGACATTTTCCATTCTCTGACTTTCCTCAGCAAGTTAAAAATAATTGCTCCAAACTGCATCAGTCAGGCTGTAAAGATGCCACTAGTGAAGTAATATATAAAGTTAAGTCTTTTCTAAAACACTTTCACACTTCTAAGGTAGCAATTTTCCTTTTGCCCACCGTTTCTTATGACAAGCTGCAGTACTTGTCAGTTGTAGGGAACTCCCAAGTGTGAATGTGCACGGTGTAAGAAACTGCTAAAAATAAAGGTCAAGTCCTCATTTAAACACCTCTGATTAAAGGTTAAAGTATCCTTAACATTTAAGTTTTGCAAAACTGGACAGAGTGACAGTGGATAATCTGGACGACAGCAGTGAACAGGAGACCCACTGCTGCCCATAACACTGCCTCACATTTCAGAGCAGTAAATTGCACTGTAGGAAACATTAATTATAAAGCCACGCCACTGATGACTTCTGCAGTGCCACGCGATCATAATTCTTTCAAACTGAAATGAAAAATTCAGAAAGAAACGTCTGAACCGAGTAGCTGTGAAACAAAAGCGGCGCGATCGATCCGAATATAAAGCCGGAGAACGACTTCAGACAATGATGCAGTACCTCTGTGGGTTGGGCTCGTTGTGTTTGTCTCTCTCGTGCTTAATCATTCTGTAGCGGCCGATGCGAACGTCTGGCCTAGACACCTTCATCCCATTCAGAGTGATCCTGCAACACATGCAGATAGAACAGAATCTATTAGAGAAAAGGAAACAAACTGAGCCAAAGAGCAGGTGAGAGAGAAAACATGCTGATTATTGAGGAAAACACTGTAACAAACAGAGCTGGAAGACAAGGAGAGGGAGAACACATTAATGAAGAAATATAGCGAGGCTGCAACTTTTTATGTTATCTATCAGCTATTTTATTAAATCAACAGCAAAGAGAATCAATTTATGGAAATCGCAAGTTCCCAAAGCCGAAGCCTGAGATGACAGCACTTCTGCTGTGAGAAGAAATTATTTAGTCTACAAAAAGTGGGAAAAAAATCCTTTAAAATACCTGTTTCAAATATCTAATCCTTGAAATAATGTTTTAAATGCCCGAACCTGATGAATAGTAAACAAAAATAATAAAAATGTTTGTCACACACAACAGAAAAGCTGGAAATCCACACATTTAGTAAGTTGTATGAAAATAATCAATAATAAAATGTGATATGTTCAACTTGTGTTTATATTAATAGAGAGTCAACAAAAGCAGGAATTCCTCATATAATAGAAGCGAGAGCGAGCAAATGTTTTGCTTCAAAACAAATCAATAAATGCGGCTGCTTAATTTTGCATTTTTAGTACAAAATCCCCCCGTGGTGTTCCCACTGACTTAGTCTCATGTGTGTTTGTCGTCAAACAGCTGAAGCTTCTCATTACTGCAGCTTTAGCCGAACTTTGGAGAATCGTGGATTTTGGCTATCCATCTGTCACACCAAACGCTCAGCAGCACTGAGAGAAAGGCCCTTATTTCCCATGATCTGTCGTGTAGCTGCGTCAGTTACTGCACAACGCACTTTTTAGATTTTCCTGCCAGCTTTTGCAACCAAATAATTAACTTTCGAACCCCAATATGTGCACTTCTGTGATGCACATGTTATAGAGAAAACTGTGAAAAGGTTAATTTTGTTCCTCGGAAGTGATAGTTATGCAATGCTACTCTGTGAGTCTACTGAGAATTGGATAAACCTTGCAGAGACCAAGAAAAAAGAAAGGAGAATATGAGAACAGAAATTTAATGTTGTGTTCGTTTATAATCTGCTATGGTCTTCATTAGGTATCCCTGGGTCCATTCAAGGCCAGGAAGGGCAAAAAAATCATTACAGCAACTGACAACTCTATTAACAGACTGTACAGCTAATCAATATTTGTGCTAAAATATTGCTGTAAGACACATTAAATCTATACATATCTCACAATAACTGACTATTCTTGCTAACAGGAAAGAATTTGTGGTGGTGTATCGGCTATTTTGACTTCTGCCCTTCACATCGAACTCTTAGTCCCATCCTTAAAGGGTCATAACTCACCTAGACAGGACATTGCAAAGCAAAGGAAGCTAAAAACGAACACAGCAATGATACTTGTATACCACAAACATAAACGATCCAACCAATCAATCTCCACTCTCGAACTCTGGGGACATCAGCTGGGAATAAGGGGAGCATTAGCGGTGTGTTTCCCTGTAAAGTTTGGGATCAGAACTTTTAGAAACAGTGGTAACATTGTATTACTAGGATTCAACACAGAGCCAACTCGGCACAGAGATTTATATCTAATGCAACAGCAAATGGGATGTAGACAACACAAACAACATCTCTGCTCCACATAAAGCCCAGTTTAAAACCATAGGCTTCCAGAGACATTGATATTCATACCCGAGACGGCATAACGGATACTGAATGAGCGATTCTTATTTATTGTAACGCTCTGATTCGTGCAGTCTCTTTGTCTTAAAAATCATCCATGCCTGATATTGCTCCGCAGCAACTTCACGTGTATTCTAGACTTTCAATGCAGAGCTTTCCCTTTTTTCTTCTCCTCTACTTGTTACATCCTCGTTTATCTTATTCATACCTTTCTCTTTTTGAATCTGCTCATTACTCTCACCTTCAGTTTTGTTCTCTTTACCTGAGTTTTTAAAAGCTGATTCCAAATGTTTGCACAGTCTGCTGAAGGTTAAAGTCGGTGCTTTGTAACAAATTTCCCACGTGTGGGACTAATAAAGGTTATCTTATCTTATCTTATCTTTGTGAAGTGCTTTTGTGTCAAAGAATCATATCTAATTGGCATGGTGAAAAAACACATTTTATAATAAAAATATCTTTGGTTAAGAAGTGGTGAATTTATTCAACCCCACACAAATGACTTGAAAATTCAATTTATTCACTTTAGTGACTCAATAAAATGTGAAAACATTCAACCTCATGTTGAGAAAATATGTAGCTATTCCTTTTCTTTCTAAATTGTATTCATTTGGTGTATGGAGCTAGATATTAGGTTTAACTTTAAACAAAAAAGAGACCAATTAACCAATTAAAAAGCTCTATAGTATAAATATTCCCCAACTGGCAAGCAAGTTATTACTTTGGTTGCTAACAGATTCCCATGGTTCCTTGTATATGACATGAGTGATAATGACCTATCTGCCAGTACTCGCTAACTACTAGTTAAGCGATAGGAAAACTGTAACACAAATCAGAAACAGAACAAACATTCTCCTAAGCACAGTTTTGAAGAGTATCAGAGTATTTGCATGTAAGTGGACGTGTTCACTGCAAACTATGAGCCTGATTTACTTTATCCTACACTGCCACTATTTCAAAACGTAGGACAAGTTTATCTAATTTGGTTAGCGGTTATGTGAAGGCAAAACTGATAGATATTATGATATATATCCACAAATAAATAATATTCAATAAAAAGACCAAATTTAAAACCTAGCTAACTGCTATATAACCATAGCTGCAGCCTAGTAGCGATAACATTTAGCACCACTAGACATTGCTATATAAATATACCTTTATTTGTGTAGCACTGTTCAAGTTTTTTCATCAAACTTTTGAAAGTGTATATTTTTGAACTCTTCTGCTCCAATAGCTTTTCCAACTGTTAAGCTAGGGCTAAGCTAACTGCCGCCTCTTCTCATGTAGCCCTCAGTAAAAATACAAATTAAAAAGCTACATTTCTCAAATGTGTGTCTTCAGTTAAATTGGTATTACAGAGGGAAGTGATTTTTTTGTGGACTGGATAGAGTCACAGCAGTCAGCACTCTTTGCACTGATGCTAAACTCAGTTTTACTGATTTATCAGTTTAACTCAATCTCTGCCTCTTTTCATATCCACTCCTTTCCCTCCCTGACCATCTCTAAAGGTATTTCCACACATTAACTTTGGAAAATGTGTAAAGAATCAGGTCAGGGAATTGCTCTTCCTCAAATGCAGCTAACAACAGTATACAGTTAGCACTAACAGCCTTCTCTCTTCCCGAAATACTTTGTATGGTTTAGAGGAGGGTGCTGCTTGAGTGTGTATGAGGCAGAAGACAGGATGACCACTCAATAGTTGCGAATACCCCGGACTATTACCAGTGCTATACCAATATTGGAAGTGAGGGTAAAGATTGTTAATGTCCAGTCTGATTGCACAGTACATTTGCTTTCTCATTTGCACCTCCGTTGGGTAATGTGTATAAAAGTACAGGGCTGAAGTGAATGTGTAAAAATGGCTTTCACCTACCTACTCATGCTCCTTGTTTTCTTTTCACCTTGCTACTCTCCTCTGTGCATTTTCTTCTTCACAGTATGCTTATTTTCACCTTTTTTCTCCTCCCCACCCTTCCTCATCTCCCCCTCTTGTCTGTACTTTCTCTGTGTTCATCTCCTTCTCTTCACGTTCCCTTTTCTTTCTCACCTCTCATCTTCTCTACAGACTAGCAAAATGTAAATAACCCCGAATGGAGCACCATGCCATCAAAAGCACATCAGCCTGTAAGAGAAACCCAAACTCCATCAAAACAACCCCATAAATAAATTCATTGAAAAACTAAATAAGAGATTTTAGCCTCTTTTTCTTTATTTTTCTCTCAAATCTCGGGGACTTTGCTGATTTAGCAGCCACGCATAGATAACTGCTTTGTCAGTGTGTGTGAACATGTGAGCATGAATGCATTTGTATAATTTTGAGAGTTATTATGGTGCAAATAATGTGTGGGTTTGAAAGTGAGCAAAGCAGTCCTTCTCTGAGCTTAGTTTTATATTATGCATAGTTCTGCATCTTTAAAATAATCTTTTTTTTTTGCCTGTTACCCTGCAGAGAGTGTAGCTAAGGCTCGCCCGGGGTGAATCCTTTCTCCTTCATCTGAATCAGTACAAATCTCAGCATCTTATTTTTATATTCAGAGATTCACGTCACGAAAGAATTTTTGAGTAAATCAACAATTCGTTTCACCCTTTGCCATACAGACAGCTTCATAGCTGGCTGTTTTTCAGACTGGTAATGGTACTTTCAGAAGAGTCTCCCAGAACTTCCGTAAGTGAAAATATAGATGACACAGCATAAAAACTGTTGCAGGTAGAGGCCTGCTATAGAAAAAGGACAAAATAACAGCTCTATTTACTAAGAAAGCTCAATAGTTCTCAAGGCTAAATTATTAAATGCTGCATTATTCAGATTGATGCTTTAATGTGAATCAAAAATTATTTTGTACTATTTTCTAGCCTTTAGTGTCTCATAGAATATTCAACAGTTTTACCTCATGGGTAAAACTGTTTACCACCTGTCATTAAAATTAATCCTCTGAGAAGTTTCGAAGGGATTTAAGATAAATGCAGTGACAATATGCCACTCTGGTGTAAAGTGGAATAAATGTGACCTTAATTATATTTAAACTGTACTTTTTAATATAGTACTTGTGAAAAAAACTGGAATACTACGCATGGATTACAGGCCTGTAGCACTGACTTCCCACGCCATACACACCCTGGAAAGACTCATCCTTGACCAGCTACAACTTCTTTTTAAGGCCACATCAGGATCCCCTTCAGTTTACCAGGCCTGCCTTGGAGATGAGGATGTCATCGTCTACCTCTTTTGATGCATTGTCATGACCATTGATCAAGAACTACTGATCAATGGAGTACCATGCACAGAGTTGGAGAATGGCTGCAATCACAGCAT